AAGCCGCCGACGCCGACTTGAACGACGACGACATTATGGACGACGGCGACGACGGTGATGCCGCTGTGTTTGAAGCTTCGGCCTCTCCGTCACCCATGTCGATCGTCGATCTCTTTGGTTGGTAGCTCCTTGCGACGTCATCGATGGGTACCATCCATACACATACGTAGGACCACCCCCGAGCATGGACATTGAACCCAACCGTGCGGTGCGACCTATCGTGCCCGAAGGCGAGTACGTCGACCCGCCTCTTGCGTCGTGCTGTCGCGTCATCAACAACCTCATGGATCGTCTCGTGACCAACCAGCCGTATTACTGGGAACACATTTACCCGCAAACAGTCGTTGGTGGGAGGAAGCTGCCTGTGGCCAACCCCGGCGGGAAGTACCTCGTCAAGCTCTACGTCCTTGGGAAGTGGCGGCGTATTGAAGTCGACGACCGTCTTCCTCTCGATAAGAACGGCAAGGTCCTTGTACTCAGCAGTACGCTTTCCACCGAGATTTGGCCATCTCTCCTCGCCAAGGCGATTTACAAGGTCTTTGCGTGGCTTGGCCACCTCCCAAATATGAACAGCCCGGCCACGACGACGTTCTCCCTCGGCTTTATTCTCAACACGCTCACAACGTGGAAGTCGCGCCCGTACGTGACGCTCTCGGATGCCAAGGCCCAAGAGGAACTGGCCAAAGTATGCACTACTTCATGCTCTACCACCCAATCTGGACGCTTCTACATACCATTGCCGTAGGTGACACCATTGCTCGATGCGGCCTTGAACGTCGAGGTGCAACCCTCGCTCAGTCTGTCGGTGCGCCCGGATTCCGACGGCTTGTGGTTCATCTTGCTTTTGGGATAGAACGTGGTGCTGCTTTGCCCGTTGGCGCCGGTCATGACGCGCAGCTTCAACGCCGTGTGTGGCGAAGCGTTCGTTTTGGCAAGTATTCGATGGATCCACCCGTCGTACTCGGTCTATATCTACTCGTCGCGGCTCGACGCAGCACCGGACGAGACCATGGGGTTCACGCCCGAGACACTCGAGTACCACAAAATGACGTCCATGATTCTACACACGATACCGACGCACACGCTGCAACTCGTGCAGGAATGGTGCGGCACACATCTCTCCGTATATAGCCATCAAAGTGCTTACAAGTCGTGTTGCATTAGGCGACAAGTCGTATCGCCGACCGACGTGACCGTGTCTACATGGATGCCGTTTCCGCACGACTTGCCGCACTTTCTCATTGTCAACGTGCCTGACGATGTGGTCGCAACGACGCTGTACGTGACACTGCAGACGGCACCGGTCGTTGACCCGTCGGTCACGGACCGTGGTTTGTTGCTCTTGGAAGACCCACAACTGAGCGTGTCCAAGCGCGACGACAGCAACAGAACAGTTCCGTTCTTCAAGCCGTTTGCCTCGTTGCCTTTCGACGTCCACGGGCCGGGTACACACGTCTTTCGATTGTATCCGCAAAATCTGGGCACCGGGTACAGCATCGAGATTGAAAGCGACGTTGCCATCGCTCTCCAGAGCATGCCTGAGTGTGTCACGACGACGTGCAGCATGCACACCGAGGTCTTTAATGGCGAGTACATTGCGATGCCCGCGAACGCATGGCACATTGTGCACAAGTCGACCATCACTGTCGCGCCCAGCACGTCCACCCATCGCCGGCTTATCGTTCACGTGCATCTCATGGACGAAGCGGCTGGTGCATTCTTCCACTTGCACATTGTCAACAATACGACGCGAGACGTGACCCGATACCATTTGCTCGAGGCGCACATCGACCTGGGCGACGATGCGCAGGCATTCACGATCTTGCTCGAGTGCTTCGCCAAGCGCGCCGTGCCACCGGCCAAGTATACGATCCTGGTGGCGTCTGACGGACCGCTATCGAGTGGGCCGCTCGTAAACGCACCCCTCGCGCTCTCGATGTTTGCCGGTGTTTACACGCCCAACAAGTACCACACCCTCTTTCGCGACGTGTTCGTACTGCACGGCGCCGACGAGGTGAAAAAGGGCGCCGCGCGGATCGCCGTGGATGCGTGCTTTAAACTGTGCACGTCGGTGTCGAATGCAGCGCTCAAGCTCGAAATCTTCGATGCTGCGTCGGGTGCATCGCTAGCAAAGGCATGCGACTACGACTGCGTGCAGCTCATGCAGCTCCCGCCGCATGCCGACGGGTACATTGTCGAAGGTAGCTTTGACACGGCAAAGTGGCTCGCTCCTGACGAGCTCCAGTCCGTCAAGCCATTTGTGGACCTCGGCAAGCCGCCCGAGCCAACGGCCTCAAACACGGCGCGCTGGTCCCTCGAAGTGTTTGCATCGGGCGCCGCGTCACTCACACCCGACTGCACGACGCTCAACAAGCACGCAGCCATTCGGTTTGGGTGGGAGCAGGCCGAGCGCGGGCGCGAGGTCCGTGGCGTAATCAGTCGTCTCTTGTACCTCGGGAAACAAGACGAGGCGATCGCAAAGATGAACGACGCCGAGTATACGCCCGAGCAGCAAAAGCAAATGCTTGGGCGGTACGAGATCGCGAGTACCAGCTCCGTCGAAGTCATTCCTTCGTCCGGCCACGATCGCTTCTTGACGCGCGAAGAGTGGATGGCCGAGGCCGCGGCTCGCCAAGTCGAGATCGAGTCGCTCCGTGCCCAAGTCGAGATTGGCATCAAAGCACGAGCGGATGCGAGTGTGCAGCGCAAGGCCGAGATCGATGCGATGAAGAAGGACATTGTGGACTTGCGCCAAGCATGGCTTGTCGAACGAGAACGGCTGTGGAACCAACGCGAGGCGCTGCGTAAAGAGCAGCCCAACCCAACGCCCGTGGCCAACTTTCCATAGTCGACGACCATACAAAATGTACATTCTTGTACAAATTCAGAGATCGGTTATTCGTTCAAGAGGTCTTGCATCTTTTCCAGCAGCTCCTTGGACTCACCGTGGAGATCGCTCTCACATTCGTGGAGAAGCGCTATCGAGTGGTCCATGACGCGATGCGTTTGCAAGCCGGTGTACCGCGAAGGGGCTTCTTGCACTTGTCGATGAAGCCAGCGTCGTGCGGCTCGATCGTCCAATCCAGCGGTCCCCAGCTCGCGGCGGCAAGCTCCTTCTCTAGGTTGCTGATCTCGGGGGCGTCCAGCGCAGACACGTGAGCTCGACCAACCTACGGACGCCAGTTCAAAGGATGCTATCCAAGGGTCGCGCGGTGTACGTGACGTAGGGCGAGGGCCTCCCCGTCGAGGAATTCCAGCTTTGGGAAAGCTAGCTGGAGTGTCCCGTGGTACGCCTCGTCGTTGTCCGCTTTCTCGCTAGCTGAGCTGTAATTCCTCAACGCATTCGTTCGTACCGCTTAAACTGCCTTTGGCGACTGCACGCGATCGCACAAAGAGGCGGCGCAGCTGCGGAACTTTTTTTTGGAGGGCTGTCCAGTCCACATTATGCGTGAGCGGGTTGCCCTAACACGATATGATGTCAATGGGCTTGCAGCAGGTTCTGTGGCAACGTCAAGACGTAGCTCTTCGAGTTCGGGCAGCAGCGGAAATGGCTCTACGATCCATATGACGACGCTTTCGCCTGCAAAGCAAATAACCGATCGACGAGAGGGCGTTCTGGGAGAGGTCGAGGCTGCGGAGAGTCGAGAGCGATGGAAGCCCCCGAACGCTCGAAATCTAAAACACTGTGAAATCCACGCTGTCCATCACAGCGACAGACCTGGTTTTGCGACAAGTTAAGCTCGACGAGCGCCGAACAGCCTGCGAGGTTGCTGATCGTACTAAGGCCAGCTTTGGCGAGGTTGAGGCGCTGCACACACGCGACATCAAAGTGGTTGCTCCGGCGCTTGATCAAGTCTTCCGTGATCTCCATGAGCGTTTCAATTGACAACCAAGTGTCGAAACTAGGTTCCTGTGGAGTGGGCTGGTAGGAAACCTCTTGGTGAGGGAAGTAGCTTCCACCGCCTCCATCGTGCTCAATGTCGTTGACACGTCGACGTGCCAGACGACTTCGATGTCCCGACCTCCGCAGCTTGGTCGGAGCATCAAAGTCGTCTTTCACCTCTGGGATCGCAGCCGCCAGAAGGAGAGCGCGGTTGACGTCGTGGCACAACCGCCGGCGTGGGCGCTGCAAAGCAGATGCGGTAGTAACTTGCCTCACAAAGAGATTTCCTACCAGCCCCGCAGAAACCTAGTTTCCCTGAGTGCACTCGACAATTGGTTCGCAATTGAAACACTCATGGAGGTTACGGAAGACTTGATCCAGTGTCGGAGCTTATTCCCACGCGTGGTTGGGTCGACTCCGTCCATAAAACGTCAGTCCCTCAGCCTTTGTAAACATGTAGTTGCAGACTCGTACCGGTCGCTTTTAAAACATACTACTACCACGTATATATATAAATGTACGGGGCTTCACACTAGGTGCACGATGGGTTCTCGCACCCCAGCACAATGTTGATGTTGCCGTGCTGACTGCGAATGTAAATGTCGCCTCGGTAGTTGCAACTCGTGCCGCAGTTGATAAAGCCATTGGCTTCCCTCGGGTCTTGCGCCTATATAATGGTTCCAGCATGGCCCTGGGAAGAAGCTCGTTGTACTGGCAGAGCGGTAACCGTATCGTAAGAAAAGTTGCTTTTCTGCACCGTGATCGTGCCAAACTCGGACCGCGCATAGTAGAAACCCACGAACGATGTGCTCTAGCACCGAAATCATCAACTGCCCCCATCGCCGTGCGCCCATCGCACCTGGAGATGCAGATAAATGTCGCCCGAGTTGGACTCGATGTGCACGTAGCCGTCGACGGCGGTATTGTGCATCCGCACGGCGCCACCGATCGTGACGACATTGATGCGACCGGGAAATATCCCATTGTCCTAGGTCCACGTTGGGCTCTAGCATGGCGAGATCGCAGCGTACCGTCGCCGTCAATGCTTCGGTTTGAATGCCCCCCGAGGTGGACTGGAGCTCGATGCGATCGGCCGTGACGTCGCTTAGAAGCAGCGAGCCCGATTGCGTCGAGAGCGCCATCGTGCTGTAGCCGCGCGTCACTTGTCTACGCCGTGTGAGGCTCGTTTCTGCTGGAGGACACTAGCTCGTACGAGGTGACTTGGGCGACGACGATGGGGCTCGCGTCCGTGGTGATCACGAGCGGGCTGTCGGTCAACGACGAGTTGAACAACGACACACTGCCAAGCGTTGACGCCAACATAGTGTTTTGCCGGCCGCCACTTGCACCTATGAAGCGTGCGTCATCGTCAAACACTTGACTGTGGCACAAAGGGCACCTGTCGCGTTGACGTAGATCGTGCTGATATTGAGCTCGCCCGAGGTCGATCGCATCGCTAGCGCTTGCGTGCCAAGGAATGCACCGACAACGTTGACGTTGGCCTGGTCCGTTGACACATTGATACCAACGAGCATTGTGGAGGAAATGTCCTGTTTCCCATGGACTTGAACTCTGCCGTATCGACTTGATGGGCGTACCTCGGAGGGCGAGAGGAGGTTGATGTTTACTTCGGCCATGGACGACGTCAGCTGCAGCAATGGCGCGGCCGTCGTATTCGGCAACACCAACTCAAGCACTGCCAGCTACGGGTACCATGGAGAGGCGCGTGGAGTATGCGCGTCTACCTGACACGACGTGTCGACGCCGAGAAAATACGAGCTGCTCAAGGGCGACGCGGCAAAGGCGCTCGTCGACTTGTCGGAGGTTGCCATTTTTGTAAACGTCGCCGTCGCCAAGTACTTTGTCTACGCACAACAACAATACTATCAATACCGGTCTGTGCGTCAAGCAGCTTCCACGCTAATGGCATTTTGCTGGCACGTGACGTGGCCGGCCGAGACGTTGCTGCCTTGCGACACGACGAGTGCGCCCGCGCTAAACGAATGCGAGAGCGCGACGGTGGTCGCGTTCGGGTCGAGTGGCAGCGTCGTCGCGTTCTGCGCTTTGCTGAGCCGCGCGCACTGCGTCGCAAAGACGACCGTGAGCGTCATGAGCACCGTGATGATGAGAAACGTCAGCATTGCCAACGCGCACGAGAGGCGCATGAAGAGCCGCTGCGACTTTTTC